GATGTGGTGATGACATACTTTCAATATGTCATGCTATCACACAGGTGGGAAGGGAAGGAACCGTTGCTGCAGGATATCCAAGGCAGGGCCGTCTACGAGTTTGATCCGGTTGACGGCATCACGAAGTTGCAGTGCTTCTGCAAAACTGTTCGTGATTTGGGGTATCGCTGGGCATGGAGCGATACATGCTGTATTGACAAGAATATCGATGTTGAGCTCCAAGCATCAGTCAAGTCCATGTTCCTCTGGTACCGCCACTCCACGCTCACAATCGTATACCTCTCGGATGTTCCGCCTTCATCAAAGTCTGGTACACTGACAAAGAGTGCATGGAACACTCGCGGATGGACGGTTCAAGAATTTCTCGCTCCCAACGTCATTCTATTTTATCAGAAGGATTGGACTCTTTATCTCAATGATCGCACTCCCAACCACAAGTATTCTGTCGCGATCATGCAGGAGTTGGAGCAAGCGACGGGCATAGATCGACGGACCATCGTGGCCTTCCGTCCCGGGATGAGAGATGCCCGAGAGAAACTTCAGTGGGCGTCGACACGTATTACCACGTTGCAAGAAGATATTGCATACTCGTTATTCGGCGTCTTTGGCGTCCGCCTACGTGTTGATTATGGCGAGAAGAAGCAGAACGCGCTCGGGCGGCTCCTGCAGGAAATCGTCGCTCAGTCGGGCGACATTACTGCCCTGGACTGGGTCGGAAAGTCGTCAGAGTTCAATAGCTGTCTACCAGCCGACATCACTTCATATGAAGCTCCACCATGCAAGCTGCCATGTCTGTCCGAAGAAGAGATTCAGACATCGGTCTCCTCGTTGCGAGGTGTCGTAGCTCCAGAGTCAGCTTCGGGATTGTATCAGACGCTTGACTACCTGGGTGCTCCCCGTTTCGCGCACCACCGGTTGTATCTACCTTGCATCGTGTTCCCAGTCACAGAAACCAGGCGGAGGCCAGGTCGAGACCAGGACACATATACATATGAACTCAAATCGGACGGGCTTCACGACCTGCAGATCACCACGGAAGACAAGTTGATCCCGTTCTCGCCAGCAAGGCCACTGCCTGCCTGGCAGATAATCTTGCTTGCTCGTCCATGGAGTCGCGATCTCCTGGAGTTGCATGACCCTGCAGACGATACACAGAGCGTGGAAGATTGGTCCGTACCCGAATATCTGTCGCGCGTTCCACTCCCTGCACAAACTGAGCTGATTTATTCGGACTCTCACTCACGAGCATTGCGATTGATTGTTCGTCTTGGACAACCTTTTGGTGCATTTTTACTAGCGCGGCAGCGCGACGGGGGATTCAAGAGGGTCGCATCGGATCGTGATATCATTGCACAGGTTGGAAACATGGCTTCCATTAGCTACATGATGGATATTAGGACACTAGAGGTGCTATAGCTGTATAGATTCTTTTTAACTTTTCTGAGAGGTTTTCATTTGTACTTTATCAATAAAAGCTCAGATCCATTCACCTAGGTGACATAACATTCCGTTTGCCTTCCCTCCTCTTCGCACAAACGACACGTCAGCGTGAACCTCAAAGATTAAACGTATCCTACCCACAAAGACCTCCACTAACGTGGGAGTCGCTGGGGGTACATTTTAAGGGCCAACTTGGCGCATGTCGTTATAATAGGGTACGATAATCTTTTACATAATGGGCATTATACCAAGGCAAGTGTAAGGCCTTACGTCGAACGTAGCCCTGGCACCACGGCACCAAATTTGTAGCCTTTCGATGCCTTGTAAGCTCTTGTTAGGCACTTTGAATGGCGCTAACTAAACCTGTAATCCGGCAGCATTATAATGGCCCTTCTGACACAATGTTGTGCATGCATGCGTGTGAGCGATGCTGCATTGGTGCGACGGTTGACCGTCCTGGCTCCTGGTGATCCGTTCGGTATTGCCATCAGCGTGAACCTTTGAACTTTTGGACGCCATCCGTTGCCTGAAGAATGACCTCGTAGTAGTAGAAGCTCATTTGGTGACTCGGTCGCTTTTCTGGTCAAGCCAAAAAATGCAAACTATCGTATTCCTGCAGGCTGCAACTCTCCCGAGTCCCGACAGACTGACAACCTCCCGTAATTTTGCAGACGATTTCAAGTTGAAGAAGGAAAACAATCGTCCTTTTCAAGCTGACGGACCAATTACTAAGAGCCTTTTCCGATATCTCGGAGTTGCTTAGTCCGCTGCCGTTGTAGCATTACAGTATCCAAGTGCGCACTATGCGTATTATGTGAACCAGTGACAAAGAATTTCCAGGCATGTCGACCGCCCTGTATATAATTTATAAACAGCTAAGTACTCGACATCCACCTCCTGTTGTTTCTCCCCTTTTCTTGTTGCATTTATTCATCTCACCACTATGGGTTTCTGCTCAAAGTCATTCGACCCAGTCACTGACCTCCCAGACTTGTCTGGTAAAGTCATCCTTATCACAGGTGGAAAGTGAGTACGTCGCACATGACCCGGATTGTTATTCACAGATGCTTTGTAGCGCAGGTATCGGCTACTCAACTGTGAAGCACCTGGCACGTCGTGGTGCTAAGGTGTACATGGCCGCGCGTAACCAAAGCAAGGCGGAGGAGGCGATCACGCAACTGAAAGCAGAGGGGTTGGGTCCTGGAAACGGTGATGTTATCTGGTTGGAACTTGATTTGAAGGAGCCTCGGAATGCGAAGAAAGCAGCAGAGAGATTTATGAAGCTGGAGAAGAGATTGGATGTTCTGAGTCAGTTACTATATGTTTTTGTTCGTTCATGATTTAGGCATGCTGAATGGATCACAGTTCACAATGCTGCGGTGTAAGCTGTACAGCTCGCGTGGACGTGATTGATACTGAATGCCCTATAGGTTGCTCGAGAATTATACCCTGACTCCGGATGGTAGGCTTTGGTCTCACTCCGTAAAGATCCGCGCTTACACAACATCTTAGGAGTCGAGGAGAAAGTGATGGTCAAGTGCGTCGTCTGGCAATATATATATATATATACCAAGTGCTCATCTATATTCATTTCAGCGTAATAAGTCATATCGTCCTGACACGCACTCTTCAACCGTTGCTGGACCAGACAGCAGCAGAGCCAAATTCAGACGTCCGCATAGTCGTCGTATGCGAATCTATTTCATCACACGCGTACTGAAAACTCACAGTTGTATACTACCATCCAGGTCGCTTCCGATGGTCACCGGTTCGTATCAGGGAGACCTCGTTTCCGTAACCTTGATGATCTTAACAACGAGCTAAAGAGTTCGCTTCACCCTAACTTTGCGCGGTATTGTACGTCAGTCACCCATTAGTATCTTCTGTCTCACAGATTTTCTTCACAAGGCATGACGAAACTCATGAATATACTCTACGCTTTTGAACTTCAACGACAACTCACCGCTGTTGGCTCTCCTATCACCGTCATCGCCGTTCACCCTGGAGCAGTCAACACCTTCTCCGATAGACCGGCTTTATCCAACTTCAAGTTCATCATCAAACCCATCGTGTCCCTGTTCTTTTTACGTCCAGACCAGGGTGCATATAACTCGGCGTTTGCGGCTGCGTCGGGAGAAGTGGCCAAGCAGCGCGAGAAATACAAAGGCACGTATTTAACGCCAGTGGGCAAGCTTACAGAACCGACGAAGGTGGCAAAGGATGAAGAGCTTGCAGAGGAGCTTTGGGATACTGTGGATAAGTTTTTGGAGGAGAGGGGGATTTGATGGAAGTTTTGTTTTATTGATGAGCTGAGATTGATGCATGACGGACAGCCGTACGTGTTGGATGGAACGATTATCTCTGTTGATGCGTTATCATGTACATTTGCGTGGCGCTGGTGCCCATCCAGGTTGTGCGCTTTTCCTTTCCTCTTCTTCTGTTTAGTACATCATTAATTGCATCGTGTCTTATATCTTACTGTATGTTCCTACACAATCAACTTATTGGCCCTTAGTCTGTATCGGAGTTGATGTCGAAGGTCAAGTGGGCACACAACGATGTAATTATTCGACAAGTCAAGGATTTATTTCCGCCTAAATTTTAGTCACTACATCGCCCACCCGTGCAAGTTGCAGCAAAAGCCCCTGTATTTCATAGTCCGAGTTACCAAAACTCAGACGGTCGATCTTTAGAAAGTGCAGATCAAGAGCGGAAGTAACCAAGACCTGATTCAAAACGAGCATATGGTGATAGGAAAGATAGGAAAGCTGCGTTGCTAGGCTGCGTAAAACGGCAATAGATCTTCAGATCATGGTAAATAGCACGAAGGACCGTATACATCTTATGGGTGAACCAGAGCGTGTTCCCACAACCCGTCTTCCCTGGAGAAAACTATGATCAAAATTTCAAATGACGCATTCAAGCATGCGAAGTTGGACGATTCCGCAATGTTGTCAGTGAACGAGGTGTATCCCCAAGGTTTGCTATAATTAGCTTACATGGATGTGAAATAGACATAGACTTATATCCGCTGTCCAGCGCAGATTAGAAGCATTCGCTGTCTCGTTTACAACTCCGAGAACATACCTGTTGGTAGTTCGCACGCTCTGGAGGTTACATAGGGTTGTAACCTGTTGTGACGTGAAGAAGTCCAAGAAAACGCTGCCAACGATAGCGCTGATAAGGTCAACGGGCGGATCTCGCGACGGGCCACCTCGGAGAGGGTATGCGTAAATCCGCATCACAGGTGACGAAATTACACTCGAAAAACCTGAACATGCTGTATCATATGGTCATGTTGATTATCAGTTGGTTCGTCGCCGAAAACAGGCGAGGCTCTCCCTGCGGCCAGGGGAACTACTCTGACAAGACTTAGCAGTAATAGCATAGCGAAACGGCCAAGTCCATGTGTTTTTTCAGTACTGCATTTGATAAGCTGATTTTGGAGACATAATAGCCTTGCTAGCTAAATTCAAAAACCATATGTGGTATACAGTTGCCTAAATAGTCTCCGGTCAGATGATCTGCAAACCGCCAATAAAAGAATACCTCTAGCACTATTACGCTCTCTTAACCATTATCATCGCCAATGGCCATTCAATGTCTACTTCATCATGTCCTTCCACAGCTCTCCCATCCTCCCGTTCAGCACCCTCCATGAGATCCTTCCAGAACCGCACTGCAACATCTCCACGCGGGTTTTCCGCATCCGCGGGGTTGCGCTGACGGAACGTGTGCAACGAGCTCCACGTATTAAGATAAGATAACAGGTCATCCCACGTCATCTTCTTGCGCATAATCACGGAGCGTGGGGAAGGGAGAGATGGGTAGTGGTCGCCTGCGATGCATTAGTGCAGTTTCGCGTAACGATAAGTCCAAGACAAACCTGTGAAGAAGACTCTCTCGAAATCACTGAACGCGCCTGGTACAACTTCATTCCCATCTGGTACTGCAACCAAGTGGTTTTCTAAAATCGAACGGCCGGGTTGCTGCCAGTATGGGCCGACGCTGTGCAGTGGGTCAAGGCCTTGGCTATAAGCGTTGATTCTCTTTGTGAGTGACGGATAGCCGGTGAAGCGGAACTCGGAGTAAATCTAAGTCAAGCAAATGTTAAGAGTCAGACGAGTAATGACTCGGAGATGGGAATACATACCCAGAATGCAGCACTCCCATTCTTCCTCAGCACCCTTGCGAGCTCAGGCCACATTTTGTTCCAATCGAACCAATGGCCTGCCTGGGCTACAACCACACAAACACCATAAATAAACAGTATGAGAGTTTATCCTGTCTAACACACGCACCACCAATGACTAGATCCACACTGCTATCCTCCAGAATGGTAGACTCTCTGCGCTCGCCTGAATGTACTCATATTGACCAGTGCTCACTGGCGTCTTCTTGAGAGTATCTTGAGCAACTTCAATCATCTTAGGGCTTGGGTCGACGCCAGTGACGCGCTTGAATGGTGTGAGCTCGACTGTTGCTTGACCTGGAATGCCGAATGTCAATAGTTCAAGTCCTTCAAATTGAATACAGCTAGAACTGACCCGTCCCACAACCTAGGTCTACTGCTCTGTCCCATCTTGCACCCTTGTTGCGCTCGTGGTACCGGAATACGAAGTCAAAGAGGGACCTAGGATAGGTCGGTCTGAAAGTCGCATAAATGGCGGTGTCAAAGGAGGATTTGCCGAAAGTCGCCATCGCAGAGGCAGCGTGAGCGAGTGTCCACGTAGTTGACGATAACACTTAAGGACTACTCATGAGGACGCACGGGAATATAAATACCCATTGCCCAACGTGTCAGATGGTCTTCGATGTAGATATGGTCGTCGGTGCTATCGGAAGTACTTGTAATCCCATCCCTTAAGAGGAGACTACGGGAACCCGTCATATGCCCGGTTCCATCATGATCGGTATGTTAACTGCTTCAGTCCACTAATATATAGAACTTCTCGACACCGTTGAACCAGGTGACAAAAACGGATAGATTCAGTCTTTCAGAAGGGAGCAAAACATATTGTTACTATTACAAGTAGAGCCGGGTTGGCAGTCCCAACCACCCTGGATGCCACATTTGTCGTGACTCATTGGCTTTGTTGTCTTCTTTGTCTTCCTGCCTGCTGTCCAGGAACGAGGATGTCACTTGCGCCGACCATCGCGAGTGCTCGAGATCAGTATAGTCAAGGCGAGCCAAGAGGATGACGGTAATGTCAAAGAGTGAACCTGAGTTAACGTTAATGTTAATCAACGTCGTAGTAAGTCGTACGTGCCATGTTCGTCGAACAGCTGTGGGGATAATGGTAGTAGCAGGACATCGTCAATGATGGGCCTGTCCTGAGCTTGCTTACTAGTAGTTCAACGACGGGCATGTCTCGGCCAGGGCTTTGTCAGCCAAGGATGACAGACGTGGTTGGTTGATGACATTAATGGTAACAGCCGCAGTTTGATGAAAAAAGCTGTGAAATGTTTGTAATTGATAATCTCACATCGAACGCCATCGTTACTCAGTACATCGAGGATGGCCGGAAGTACTCTCTACCGGTGCACAACCTGACAAATCCATCTTGAAGGGAGAGTTGGCTATAAAACACACGAGCGTGGATCACCGTCTCTCCCATCAATACCAATATTCCAAGCATTTTATACCTTGTGTCTCATAGATCACCATGTCTTCTTCGATCTCCGCACTCTTCTCTCCTATCCGCATAGGCAACATCGGCTTGCAGCACCGCGTCGTACTTGCCCCACTCACCCGCTTACGTGCACACGCAAATCATGTCCCAAGCCCACAAGCACCAGCGTACTACTCTCAGAGAGGCTCTACCCCCGGCACTCTCCTTGTAACAGAGGCCACATTCATATCACAGAAAGCTGGTGGTTACGATAATGTCCCTGGGATATACACCGATGCCCATGTAGAGGAGTGGAAAAAGGTATGTTGTATCTTGCTTGATCATGAGATCGATGAGAGCTGACTCACATCCTCGACTGCAGGTAACAGAAGCAGTTCACGAGAAGGGCTCTTTCATTTTCCTACAACTCTGGGCGCTCGGCCGTGCGGCAGAAACAGCCGTCCTTGCCAAAGAGAACAATAGCCCCTACGTCAGTGCCTCACCCATCGCTATCCCGGGAAAAACAGACGTGCCACGCGCACTCACCAGGGATGAAATCAAAGAGTACGTTGCCACGTATACTACTGCCGCAAAAAATGCAATTCGAGCTGGCTTCGATGGCGTTGAAATTCACGGCGCGAACGGCTACTTGATCGATCAATTCATACAAGACGTTACCAACCAGCGTACAGATGAATACGGCGGAAACATCGAGAATCGGGCAAGGTTTGCACTTGAAGTAACCGATGCCGTTGTGGAGGCCGTTGGTGCTGAGAAGACAGCGTTCAGAATAAGTCCGTGGGGTGTGTTCAGTGGTACGTGGATCATATAATAGTGCCGATCTTCATTTAGCTGATTTGTGGTGAAGGTATGGGCATGGCAGATCCCAAACCTCAGTTCTCCTACTTGGTTGAGGAGCTGCGGAAACACAAACTCGCGTACATCCACGTCGTGGAGCCGATGCCTGCCGAAGTCACTGCTGAAAAAAACAGCGACTTTATCCGTGATATCTGGGATGGGGTCGAAGGCAGCGCATTCATCAGCACAAACGGACATACACGGAATAGCGCAATTGAGACGGTAGACAGGAAAGGCGGGCTTATTGGATTCGGAAGGTTGTTTATGCCAAACGTGAGCCTTTTCCCCCGGACTTGGCAGTGACTGACGTGCCGCCTTTCCTAGCCCGATCTTCCATTCCGTCTGCTAAAGAACATCGCGCTTGAGCGGGGTGACCAAGCAACATGGTACATGGCCGGTAATCTTACACCAACAGGTTATTCGGATTGGCCCTATGCGCCAGAGAATGATCAGCAGATAAGCAGATTGTGACATGGCTTTACAAGTAATATACCTTGGAATAGAGTAGATGTTGACTTCACACTTCTGATACCTTACTGTCTATACCTGATATCATGATCGACTAATCTTTATTTCACTTTATTTACGGTATGGCACTATCAGTGACAATTTATCATGTTTTTGATCTGGCCCACCATCAGGGGGAGCATGTCAGATATTAGGTTGTCAGACGAGATTGTGAGACTAATGGTGAGTCATCTCCCCTGGTAGTTGTGCAATCCGAGCGATGCGAGCAGAAGGCACCATACCCGTTCGACTAGTATGGACCCTTAAGAGGAGGATACAGAATATTCAAAGGCTTATCTTATGGGCCGCGCTCTGTGAGCCTGAGGAACAGCGGGTATGACAATATAGAGCATTGTTGCCGTATCGATAATGGAAGTGTGGAGGCTTCATGTCCTGGGCGTCCGTGAAAACGAGGCTAGTTGACGGAACGAAGCAGCATACAACGCACAATACACGCAGACTCGGGCGACAGGACATTTCGGCTATGGGACTTGAAGACAGGTGTTGTATTGAAGAATATGGAAGGGCATCGCGGTGGGGTGCGGGCATTGATTGTCTCACAAGATGGGCAATTGATAGCAAGCGGTGATAGAGACGGAGAGGTCATCGCCTGGCATGGAGAAACTGGGGAATCGCTCACCCAACCCATCAAAGCCCACTCCCGTTATATCACCTCGCTGGATTTTTCTCCTGATGGAACAGTGCTAGTCACTGGCTCATGGGACACAACCATATAACTGTGTGTTGTTAATAAGAATATGAGCGAGAGAGAGGTTAGGCGAACGCCTCGTTGCTATTTCTCGCAATAGGAGATACAAAGGTGCGCGCTACATTTTCGGCTTATTCCGTCACATACACTTAGACATAATATGATTCATCTTGCCGACTTCCACGCATATGAAGTGGTTAGATGGCGCAATCGAAACTCCCCGTTTATCCAAGCTCCATTTAATTCACCTACAGCAAAATTGTTTTGAAGACATCTGTTGAGCTCTCCGTCATGAATTCGAAAAGGTTCTTATGACCTCTGACTTCGTTTCTACCACGACATCCAAAATGCCAACCTCTCTATACCCAGATGAACCGTCTCACGGTGATGTTCTCAATTTTGTCTAGAGAGATGCGGATATCACAAGTCAGTCTGTTCTAACCCTCCTTACTTTGTCCGAGCTCACAGGCATTCGGTCAAAGCACAAACTAGAAGAGACACTTGGTCAAATATCTAATACTGAACCATAAATTGCAGAGGGAATGCTTGTACGTGAATACATAGGCTCAGAGTTAGATGCCTCACGACCAGCTTAGAAAGGATCTATGGATGTTCTTGCACAAACTGTTTGAAAGGAAGGTTTCTTCGCGTTATACAAAGGTTGACATTAGACATGATGCATTGCGTTATTCCGAAAACTTATTCTGCTTCAGGGACGGCCAGCCCCCTTCTTGGAATTGCCGGAGTCAACTCCTTGCCGTTTGCCTCATACGTGTACTCTAAGCGCATCGTTTCACCATTCCCACAGCTGTCCCTGAA